CAAATAACCTGTAAACATTTGTAAAATCCAAGCAGATCACATAACCTCGAATAATTAGTTCATTATGAGCATGCGTTGCATGAACGGGTAGCCCGCGGCTAGTGAAAATGTAATTTTAATGTAGTGAAAATGTAATTATAATGAATGTTGCATGAATCCGCCTTTAGCCTCCGGCTTGAGGGAGTGTAAATCCAGCAAAGCCGATGGCTGTATAGAGGAAATACGGCAAATCTAATGAAGAAAACCAGGAAGGATACAGAAAAAATACTCTCCTAAATCATCATATCTTTCCATTATTCAAGATTTGATGTAGATTTCGATATATTGATAGAACTATCTCTTGAATGAACGTAGGCATATAGAAGTCCATAGTGCTCTTGATAAAAAGATATCTCTCGAATCTACTAAGTACTGTATAGTGTTCTTGAACTAATTGAGTGACACAATGAGAATTTGTGCAATCAAAGTGTAGTTATATGCATATTCATAATCATAACACAAGGAATCTTGTGAAATGTGGCTTTCCCATGCCAAAACAATGCGCAGCAGACTATTCATAATTCAAAAACTCGCTTCTCAATGTCAAAACTTCGAAATTAGCTTTTGAGGATTTTTAAAATCATCCGTTAGAGAGAAACCATTGTTCTTTGGGCATAATTGCCATCTCGGATTGGGAGTGCAGGCGATTTTATGAAGTATAATTAATTAATGATTCGACTTTTGTGGGAACGAATAACTTATACATATTTTACTGTTATTGATAAGTATTTGAGAAGAAATACGAATTAAGTACATGGTATAAGCAGATATAAAAAACCGAATCAACCGTATAACCCTCGGTATAACCACTCTTTTATATTGTAGCAGCATGTAGTAGACTAGCATTCGAATAATCAATCTTTTGTAAATATTTCTGACAGTGAATTTGTCTAAAAAAAAGATGCAGAATGGTAAAAACATCCACATTTTTCTCTTTTTTTTCTTATACAGGGTGTTTTATAATTGGGGAGGCGATTCTTCAGTCCATTCTAAGAAGAAAGTTTAATGTGAATGTAAGACCTAAACGTTATCAAAAATTGATAGTTTTCTATCAATATTTATAATACCACTTCAGATATTCTGATGAAATTTGGCATACATGTACATCAAGAGGCATCTGTAAGTGCACCACATTTTTTTTTGTTCGTATGGAATTTCGCATACCTATTTTGGCAGACATTGATGGTACGCCACTGATTATTCTTGAAATTGAAATCATTCCTGAAATTTCCAATCATTTCTAAGCAAATTTGATCACAATAATATTTTCAATCTGATGCACGGTTGTCGCTTAAAAGAATAAAAAGCTTTTCACTACATGATTATAGCAATTTCGTTAATTTGACAATATCACAATGCAAAGAAATAGATTTTATTTTTTAGATCAAATTTCAGAAATACAATTCATAGTTTATGAACTTCGTATTCGTCGTTGGTATTTTGGAAAGTCTTCCGTTCAAATTTCTTCTTCGTTTCGTATTTTTGTTGTTCATTTTTATAGAATGCGTGCCTGTTTTTTATATACTCAAATCTTATAAGTAGGTACCTATGTAACTGTATTTTGTGATATTTGTGAGTATTTCCAAATTGAGAATTGAGAATAATATTTTTTTTTTCATGACAATGTTTGTTTTGTTTTGTGTCTATTCTGTTGGAGATGTGTTACTTTTCGGTTTACTAAAGTACATAATGTTTTGACGCTATATTCCAATTTTGAAATTGGAATGAACCTATTGAATTGAAAGCTTCTTTGAAGAGATATTATGTATAACTCGATATATCCTCGGTGCGAAATATTTGTATTGATTTTCAAATGACAATGAAGACAGTTCTTGTTAGGTGTGGTCTTCCCTCTGGGCAAACAGTTAATGTTAATATATTATTATGAAGTGGCCATTTTTTATACAGCACCTTTGACGATAATTTGATTTGATTCATTTTTTTTCGATCGATAACCGTTAATGATTTTCATGAGATGAGCTCACGCATCAGTGTCCATTGAGAAGAAATCGAATGCTGATTTAGTGATGGAATATACACGGTGATTATTTCACTAGGGCGGGATTTGGCAACAATGCCCCTATTTCGAATGGAACATGGCAAATACCTTTCTTTATATACTGAATATCTTATTGAATCGAACCATTCTATTGAATTTGTCTAACACGACGATTTTTTCCATGCAAACAATATCACTATATATATTTATCTACAAAAGTCATCATCAATCTGTTGTCAATATTCCTGAGGTGAAATGAAAGAAGTATAGATCAATATTGAGGATTCTGTTTAAATCATAACACAAAAACAGTGTTGTAATCTTTCCTTTTAGTACATGGGAAGAAAAGGTTCTGTAATTGGTCACAGTGATCACTTAGAAGGTTTGAAAAGGTGGTGAACCAAAATAACTAGTGGGTAGCTTTTCCAGTAGACGTTTATTCACTTCGAGGACGATGGTAAATTTCACAAGACAATCACAGAGTGCTCAGTACAATGAAAAATAAGTTAGTGATGTTGACTCAAGAATAGTTGCGTTCTATCTAACTAAAACATGGCTTCCCTGAAGGCATATAATTTTATAGACGAAAGTTTTGATAATCTACTGTCGTGAGAAACGAAAGATAAAATACAATTTATAAGGGCACAATTTAGTATACTCTATACTTCTTTCCATTATAAACTGCTGAAGTTGATTTTGCTGAGACTGAACTTAGATACTCGAAGTAAGTTTTGAAATTGATATTTCACAAGGTATCAAGTGAAGTTTCGTGAGCTTTCAATGCTACGTGATTGATAAGAATTATAGTGTGGATTATCTAAATATTCAATTGAATTTGTTGATGCTGAAACAGATTCCGGGGTACGAGAAAAATGCACAATTGGTTCATTATTGTACCTTGGATTTGTTGTTCTATTGTCGATTCTGATACACAGCATCTCCTACCTAACTTACATTTCTTGCAACAACAACAGCATAAAATAATACATAATAAAATAATAAACAAAATAGCTAACACACTATTAGCTGAAGATAACGAGTTTGGCATCCAGAAAAAATTATCTAGTTCTTCATCAATTTCAGAAAGCTTTTTGCTTGCTAAATTCAAATCATCTAAATGCATACTTACAACCTTGAAATTTGGATCTAAATGTACTTCAGAATAATTAATTTTCTTTGTCTTCTGTTTCACAACAATCATATAACAAATTTATCGGTGGAATGAAATTTTGGTTACTTTCATAAATGCTGGTATGTACTTTATGAGGTATCAGAAGAGCACTTTGAGTAAAAGCTTTACAATTTTCGGATAGAGCTAACATTCCGGTTCCTTGAACAAATTCGTTGTAAATTTGACTTTGACAATTTATGCTAATACGTTCTGGAGAATTCAAAACAAAAATCCAAGTATTGGATAGAATTAATTGATGCCATATGTTTTGATAGAGAGAAGTTAATCTCTTATCACAATTTTCTGGAATTGTACTCGTTGCATGAAATAATTTAACTTCACAACACTCGTGTTGATGAGTCAATAATAAAGGAGTTTCTTGCTGACATACATAATGTGATTTCATGTATTCAATACATGAAGAAAATTGTTCTTCAGCAAATAGTAAATATTTCTGCTTAATACTATTAATAGCCAAGTATTTGGTAGAGGGTTGGATAAAGATATATTTATTATCAGCTACATGAACTGGTAAGGGAGTAAGTTTGTAAATATCATATTCTTGGCTATCTGTCATAGGTAATGATAAAATATAAATCAACTTACCGTCTGTATAAAAGACGCTGAGTTTGACAAAATTTAAGAATATGTGGGCGTTTTCTATTATTGGCATAACAGGAAAATGTAAATAATTACGTGCCGACATATTTTGAAGTTCAAAAATAAGTTTTTCTGGGGTTAATATAAAAGGATGTAGCTCTCCTGTCTTAGCAGAAAGAATTGCATTTATTAGGGATTGTGTCTCTAATTGATACTGTACATAGAGAATGATAAAATTAGAGAAATGTTCGTTTAAATTCAATCTTGCCTCGAAAAGAGCAAGTTCCTTGCCTTCTCTATTCAGGAATTTCTCAATTTTATCTAAATTTTCTTTCAATATTCGCTCATTTGTATTAAGAGTTGAAATTGTATGATTAAAATTCGAAATTGTTGTTTGAATTACATGACTTTGTTCTTTCAAAATAACAGCCAAATTTTGTTCATTTTTCGTGAACTGATTTATTTTTTGATTATAATATTCTGCATCGTCATCGTCTAAATTTCCAAACAAAAATTTTGAAGCTTTACCCACAAAATTGAATAAGCCTCTTTTGGACCTAGTAAAAGTTTGATTTGTATTGTGTCCTATTAATTGATTCAATAGATAACGCTCATTACTGATTTTATCGATAATTGGTTTTGATGTCCTAATGAAGTTAGAGCATAAATCTTGAAGGTTAAGTTTTTGAATTCGATTTTGACAAAAAGATATTGTTCTTGAATGATAATCTTGCAATACTATCAATTTTTGATTGTGTTCTAACATATCAACGAAAGTAATTAACTCATATTGATCATTATACAATTGACTGCTTCCTAAATTTTCATAGTGTATACCCGAAGATTGCTTAATCTCTGTGATGGAGTAATTTTCGTGTTTTTGCTGTCCCATGCAGTGTCGCCAAAATATCAGTGAAAGTATTAAAACCAGTGACATCTTATTTTCAGTCGAAAATCCCGTTGAATTTCTTCTTTCTTGATCCTGTCGAGTCGATGGAGTTCAACTGCCCAGCTGCGGCTTCAGGAACGATGAAAATGAAGTTTCTGCTCTAGGACTCTGGAACTCTGGTGCTCAGGAACTTTGATATTCAGGAACTCTGCTGCTTAAAAACTCTGATGCTCAGGAACGTCTTGTCGATTTCAGGAATTGAGTTAACTTTCAGGAACTGAGTTAACTATCGGAAATGAAGTTTACGCTGGACGAATTTCTGCTAAAAAACCAGCAGCGTCGAATTTTGGTAGAAATTTTGTCGAATCTGCTTCTGCGATGTTCTTGTGAATCACTCGAAGAGGAACTGATTTTCCGTAGAAAACTGCCCGTAGACACTGTTCACGCCTAACGAAAGTCACTATTTGGTCACCACTTGAGTTCGCCAAACTAAGAACTAGTTTGAAATCCCTTAAGCTGCCACCACAAAATTTTCTGTTGTAATCTTTCCTTTTAGTACATGGGAAGAAAAGGTTCTGTAAATGGTCACAGTGATCACTTAGAAGGTTTGAAAAGGTGGTGAACCAAAATAACTAGTGGGTAGCTTTTCCAGTAGACGTTTATTCACTTCGAGGACGATGGTAAATTTCACAAGACAATCACAGAGTGCTCAGTACAATGAAAAATAAGTTAGTGATGTTGACTCAAGAATAGTTGCGTTCTATCTAACTAAAACATGGCTTCCCTGAAGGCATATAATTTTATAGACGAAAGTTTTGATAATCTACTGTCGTGAGAAACGAAAGATAAAATACAATTTATAAGGGCACAATTTAGTATACTCTATACTTCTTTCCATTATAAACTGCTGAAGTTGATTTTGCTGAGACTGAACTTAGATACTCGAAGTAAGTTTTGAAATGGATATTTCACAAGGTATCAAGTGAAGTTTCGTGAGCTTTCAATGCTACGTGATTGATAAGAATTATAGTTTCAAGTGTCTACTGAGAATATCTGATTATATTATATTTCAAGCAACTACGAATGATAAGAAAAAATCCACAATAATTCTACGAACAAAATAATATTGAAATTATATGAGGGTTTACAACAACAGTCGCTTCTGTGTTTTTTCAGCATAACCATTTTCTATACAATTTTGTTCTATATCTATATGAATCGACCATTGTCCCGGACTTGCTCTTCCAATTCAGAAGCCGAATTGACCAACACGTGACCAATCAACCTCGTTTTTAGGCGATAGAAATTTTGATATTTGACAATTTGGTATGCAGCCAGAATGCTGGATGCAGTGTGTGTAACTATCGCGAGGCGCTCGTTTATTGTCTCGATCATGAAATAGTCAAACGAATACAACTCGTGGTACTATTACTCCTGGAAATATCCGTCGTTACTCCAGCTTGCTGCTTCAATTTTGCTCAGGACATTGTTCCAAAACATCTCGCCTACGACTCGAAAGTTTTGATAAATAATATAATTCGACAAATTATCAGGCAACCAGCTGTCGCCAAATATTGTCGGTGAAATAGTATCACTTGTAGTATTACATATGAAAAAATCTAATGAAACTTGGCCATCCATAATCACAACAATAGAGGTTGGTACATAGTCATGTATCTTCGTTTCTAAAATCAATTGTAAAATAATCTATAAATCCACTTTTTAGATTAATTTAATGATCCACTAGTCATTATCATGCTATAAAAATTTATCTGATCAACATTCTTTATTCTCTCTATATTCTGTGTTTTGATGTTTTAAGTGTCTGCAACAAGCATGACAATGTATCGTATAGCTGGTTGCCTAGCGATACGTGTTAACTGATGTCTCTACCCAGTCAAGGTTGGTTATGGTACTATACCAGAGATACGTACCGTACCGTACTGCTTTTGCAACAGCATGGTGAAACAGGTTGGTTACGACAGCGTCATCTATCGGTTTTTTTGCTTCTGAAGTTGATACAAAACAAGAAATCCACAATATCTCTGACGCAGGATCCTTTAATTATTATCACAGCATAACCTCTCATGTTATGAGGAATTCAGTTTTCACGGCCCCAAATCTTGCAAAATAGATGCAAATTGTCAAGAGGGAAATAAGAGGATTGGACAGTGACTCAAAAAGTGAAAATGGCTCAGAAGCCAGTATAGATACGGAACCTAGCAAAATGAAACAATCTCACTGAATGTAAAAACGATAAGACTTCCACGAAACGACATTTTTCACTAACACAGTTGCTTCGCCAGGTGATATACTGGTACGATGAACTAAACTAACCTTATATAATATATCCTATTTTGAGGTTCAATTGATTTCTAATGATTCAAAATAATTGAGTTTCATTCCTTTATTCTCTACGTGTAGAATTTCGAAATTATCATCAAAACTATGGTTTTCTTCTAATATATGGTTGGCGTATGTTGAATTTGTTTTCTTTTTCAAAAAATTTATCTTATGTTCATGAATGCGCTGAGTAAACCTACGACCTGTCTGACCCATATATACCTTAGGACAAGATGATCCACAGGTGAATTTGTATAACCCTGGTCTTTCGAATTTGAAAGATTTTTCATTATTATTTTCGATAAACCTCCCCAACGTGTTATTTGTTCTAGTTTCATGGTACTTTCAAGTCCTGTTTATGTAGAAATGAAGCTAATTTTTCAGTTGATGATCCGAAATAGGTTAAAGTTCTTTAATTTCAATTATTATTCTTGATGGTAGGATACATCTTTATTATTATGGAGTTTTTCAGAAAGAATACTGTCTATCAAATTAACGTTGTATCCGTTGTTGACTGCAATCTGTTTTATGATATTGAGTTCTTTATCTTTCGGAAGTAAATGTCAAAAATACCAGTATATCACCTGACGAAGCTACTGTGTGAGCGAAACATGTCGTATATTTGAGAGTTTTCCATCAAGTAACGGCTGAGTCAATTCAGAAAATCTCACTGAACTTATAGGCAAATATGTGCCGGTATTCCAAGTTCAAGTTGTCTAGGAGAAACAGGCTGAGGAGGTGGTATTCATTATTCCAGATTTTTTGTGATTTTCTTTCCTCGATTGTGTGAAACAAAAATATGAATATTATTTCGGTATACCTACGTGTAGTGAGGACAAATCAGATAATTTGCCACAAAATGTCACTGCGCCTAAAAATTTCCCTATCAGAGAGCCTAAACAAAAAATTAATTCTCGTGACAGTGACACTTTGTTTTGAAAACGGTTTAGACAGGAGAAATAACAAATTTTCACTCATATCTTTGGACGTTTCGAGAACAAATCTGCTTCCGTTTTCACCATACAAAATGGGAAATATTTTTCTCACAATTCAATTCAGTTTTTGACACTTCTAAGTTGAATTCACCAATGAATCTTGAATAATGAAAATTCATCCTTTCGCTTCCAAACACTTTCATGAATTGATAAATAAAATCTGTATCATTATAGATGACTCAGTTAATGTTGCCAACTTTGGTCCTACAAAAATTAATCAATCTTGTCAAGACATATATGCGTAGTGTAAATAATTGATCAAACAATGAATGAGTGAAAGTATAGTTATCATCTTTCTCATCATGTTTCAAGGATGTATCTTCGTATATACATACACTCACCGGCAAAAAAAACCGGCCACCAAAAAATTTAGTCAAGTTGTTCGCCCTGTAACTTCTTTAGTTCTTGTCGGATTTTGGTGAAATTTTGAACAAATCGTAGATTCATGTTCCGGAATGTTAACCTGAATATGAATTTCCAAAAAAGCTGATAGCTTGGTCATTATACAGGGAAAAACAAGAGTTACTAATTTACCCATAACTTCTTAACGCCCTGTGGCTGAAGTGAGTGGTTGAACTCCTCTTCATTATGTCTTGGATTGAAGAGCATTATTTTCTCATCACAATAGTTTTTGATTCACGTCGATATCTCATTGTTTAGAAAAGATACGATGGTTTTAAGAAAGTATGGAGTTATTCAAGTTTTATTTAACAATCATCAGAACGTACATGAACTTATCGATCGACAACTTGAAAAAAAACATCTTTAAATCAATATGGCTTATTTCCACATTGTTTTCTTGGTATACCTCCCATATTATTGGAGACGGCTTTGGTCTTGATGCATGACAACGCCAGACCACACGTTGCTCGAATTGTAACCGAGTATTTGAATGAGGTCGGAATTCTAAGGCTTGACTGGGCCAGCATGCAGCCCGGATCTCAATCCTATAGAGCATCTTTGGGATGAACTACAGAGGCGCATTCGTCTACGTCCGGCATTGCCAGAGACTCTTCAAGAGCTACGATTCGCCCTTCAAGAAGAATTTGAGGCAATTCCTCAAGACTGCTTGAGAAATCTGATCAACTCGATGCCACGGCGATTTAATGCTGTAATTCAAGCTCGAGGAGGGCATACTCGGTATTGAATACATCTAGGAGATCTACTTTTCGTTTTTTTTTTTGTAATTAAGGTTTTTTTGTGTAGGTGTGTCTACGTTCTGATTATTGTTAATAAAACTTGAATAACTCCATACTTTCTTAAAACCGTCGTATTTTTTCTAAAAAATGAGATATCGACGTGAATCAAAAACTATTGTGATGAGAAAGGAATACTCTCCAATCCAAGACATAATGAAGAGGAGTTCAACCACTCACTTCAGCCACAGGGCGTTAAGAAGTTATGGGTAAATCAGTAACTCTTGTTTTTCCCTGTATAATGACCAAGCTATCACCTTTTTTGGGAATTCATATTCAGGTTAACATTCCGGAACATGAATCTACGATTCGATCAAAATTTCACCAAAATCCGACAAGAACTAAAGAAGTTACAGGGTGAACAACTTGACTAAATTTTTTGGTGGCCGGTTTTTTTTGCCGGTGAGTGTATAATCAACTTTCACGTAATACTTTTTTTGTCACGAGAATACGAATATGGTATCCGAACTAGGTTAAATATACATAAACACAAATTTCACTAGTTACGTAATGCATAAGTCTCGGTTAAGATGATTGAATATTAATTTCATATATAGGTATGTTGTAATTCAAGTGTGTGCAACTGTAAACAACTAGGCAATAAAACGACATATAAAACTAATAAAATTTATTCATATGTACAAAAAACATAAGAAAAACAAGTCGAAAGGATTAAGAGAAGTTGGCACTTCCAGTGGAAGAATATCAGGTTTCATCGAGGGTTTCATAACAAAGCGACTACTAGAATCTAACATGCAAAATAAAAAAATGAATGAATGCGTGTTGTGATAAAGGGATAGTAGGTAGAAAGTGGAGAAAAAAAGATGTGAGATTGAAGAAAATGAAAATGGAAAGAAGTTGATGAGAAAAGTATGGTGTATTTACATGTTGACGCATTCTTCTAAAAGGGTGTTTACATAAAAACAAGTGATCATGAAAATATATTAAAATTTCAAATGATCAGCTGAAGAAGGGATCTAAAATACTAGGAAAGGGAATCACAAGAATATGGAAAAGAAGGAACAAGAAGAAACTTGCTTGTAGTAATTCATGCATGCAAGGATAGCTTGATGAAGGTTCTCTCAGGGGTGGAGGAAAACCAAATAAAGAAATTAGGGCGTAGAAAAATTACATAGGACGAAGCAGGAAGATGGAAATAAATCACATTTTTATTTTTTATCTACAACAGATCTTCAAGGTCTAGCTCAGTTTCGTCCGACCTGATCGATCTGCGTTTGGAGATTGTTGACGACTTCTGGGGGGAATTGGTCTCCCAAAATTTCGAAAAGGTTGATCTTCTGGTTACCAGGGATACTCTCATAGGCGCCGATTTCAATCCCTTCTTGCACCTGAAACGAAAAAAAATTGAATATTATTCAATGAGCGTATAAAATAGCGATTATGCGCGAGTAGAAGACTATACTTTCTCTACGCCTAGGTATACTAATACAGGGTATCCCTCCGGGAACTGCATAGATCAATAAATAGAAAATTATAGGTGGGCCAAATTTGAAAATTTGGGTGTTCACTATTGTTGATGAGTGCTATCCGGATAAAATATTTTGAAGATTGTGGCACTTTCGGTTGTACCGGAAGTGGACCCCAACTTCGTTATTTTGAATAGGACACCCTGTATATTATCAAGGTTTTAGATTTTGAGTTGAAAATTGCGTTTGCAGACCGAAAAATATTTTTTTTTATTTCTGGACATGATGATTTATTTTCGATTGTGTATCAATTTATTCGTAGTAGAGGATCCAGTTCAGTAGAATCAGTAGATTTTAATTCGATTACAGTTATACAGGGCGATCACCAGAAAATGATATAGATCCGGTTGAAAAAATTATTGTAAGTAAAGTTTTTTAAATGGAAACCGCTCAATTTCATATTCTCATTCGAAAATGAAGCTAACTTTGAATAAGGTTATATATGCCTACACTCAACATTTTTCGAAATATTGGCGAATTAACATGTCTCAGTTGAAAAAAAAATAGATTTAAGTATTCATTCGAATATTTCAAACGAGCCGGCATGATTGATTACATTGACATTTCCGTGGCAGTTGATTGTTTCCAACGCAACTGCAGGCGCCATGACCAACTAAGAATAAGTAAACTCAAGAATACGAAATTTCCTGGAATTCCAGGTGGACATTATGATATTTAAAGTAGTGTAAAGCAGCATAAAGCAGTGTCGTTATGATGCAGTTAGAGGAAACATTTTTATCGACCATGATTGATTATGGTGGAAGGAAAAATTATGAAAAATGAACATGATTGATTATGATTATGGTAAAACATTTTTTTAAAAATAATTTGCTCAAACGGGATTATAACAACACCGCAATTTCACCTCGAATTTTACAATACTTCAATAATCTTCCTGTTCATCTGAAATTTTTGTAGCCTCATATGGTTCTGAAAAGTAACTGAAAGATAAGGCTAGCCAACTATAAAAACCAAGATGGAAACCGAATATGAATATATTATTGAATCTATGAGAAATTCGATATATAGAATTCAACCTCAGTTCAGTTGTAGACATTTCAACTGATAAAAGTTGAATTAATGATAGTAATAAGAGAGGTTACCTGTATAAATTTGTGATCAATGGTGTTTATCAGATTTCTATCCTTTATATGGAAGGTAATATTGGTAATATCTAGTGATAGTTGGTATTATTCGGGAATATTTGGTGATATTTCGAGTGATATTTAGTAATATTTGGTAATATTTAGTAATATTTGGTAATATTTGGTAATATTTGGTAATATTTGGTAAAATTTGGTAAGATTTGGTAAGATTTGGTGATATTTAGTAATCTTTATCAATATTCCGTAATATTTGGTATTATATGGTAATACTCAATGATATTCGGTATCAGTTGGTGATATTTGGAAATATTTTCCAAAATCGGTATAGTATTTAGTAATATCTTGAGCTCGGTAGATTCCTTACTTTTTGGATTTGGGCATCTTTTGGTATCAACAGGGTGTTCTGTGCTTGCCTGATGGCTTCTTGTGTGTAGGCACTGCCTTCTTTCTGTGGTGAAGGTGCCGCTGTTGCCATAGCAACGACAACGATGGCTATGCAAATCAGAGACTTCATTTTTTTTCTGAAAGATAAAAAATTACATTTATTGTATCGTTTGAATGATGCACACGATATGATTTGTTCATTCGTTTGTGGACTGTTTGATATTTTTTCTTTTCAATTTCTCACAATTTTTTGGAAATGCAACAGTAGAATCATTAATGGCAGTATTGAAAAGGAATATTCTCAGGCATAAATATTGTAAACATGAAAGATATGGATATATTTATGTGGAAATACATTGAAAATTCGTATTTTCTATGTGATGAAAGTAATAATTCTTTCTCCATTCATTCCACAGAAAACAACTACTTTCCTGGCTATATGCCACGACGAACATTGACTTATATCTATTGAATACACACGATAAGAATTTGAAAATAAAATCTTCTGAAGTTGAGAATTTGCATTCGTCTGCAGATAAAAACATATGAGTATACACATAATATCAATTTGAATATTCACCAAAAAACAACTTTCCTGGCTATTTTCCACGTCAAACTTTGAATTATATCTGATGGACATCCAAAAGGACAACATCAATAAAAATCCTCTGGAATTGTAAATTGACCTTCGTTCAAATCGGATAAATAATAATAATATGATGTATGATGTAATGAGATTATGAACACAAAATCATTGATGACAGTTTGTCATGACTGTGTTACCTCCAAGTGTTAAGAAAATAATCATTGGTGACTAGACTAATTTATGAGGATTCTTGTTCATCATTAGATTGAATTTACTTTTCAGTCGTATTAGCAATAATTTTTATTCAGTTTCCTAAAATGGTTGCAACATATAGGATGTGAAACAACGTGCAAATGCATATTATTATAATAAAAAGTACCCAACTATTATTTCATATCGTTGATTATTTTGTAATTTTATATAGACAATGATTCGAAATAGGTATCCTATAATTTGTCAGTATGCAAAGTATCTCAATTCATTTTTTTCCTTACTATTACATTCGTTACATGATTATTTCTATCTTATATCCCAAGACCTATTAATTTGATTCATTTGAAGTCATAGGTCGAGAGGTATACGGCTAGATTATTTCCTGAATAACTTAGATTGAAAGCAACAACAAATAATTATGATATATACAGGGTGTACAGGGTGGCAATTTTGACGAACATTTAATGAGAATTTGAAAACAAGATCTTCTGAAGTAGAAAATCTCATTCTGAATATTCAACAGAAAACAACTACTTTCCTGGCCATCTGCCACGTCGAACATTGAATTATATCTCTTGAGAATCCAACATATTATTTTATCCGATTTCAGAGGATTTTCATTTTTCATGCTCTTTCCCTGGATGTTAAACAGATATAATTCAATGTTCGACGTAGCAAATAGCCAGGGCAGTAGTTGTTTTCTGTTGAATATTCAGAATGATATTATGTGCATATCTTTATATGAAGGAGAATGCAAATTCTCTACTTCCGAAGATTTCGTTATCAAATTCTTATCGTTTGTGTTCAATAGGTATAATTCAATGTTCGTCGTGGCATATAGCCAGGAAAGTAGTTGTTTTCTGTTGAATGAACCAAGAAAGAATTGATATTTTCATCATTTCTTTATGTATATACATATATGAATTTTTTTATGTTCATTATAATTATATCTGAGAATATTTCTTTCCAATTGTTGTTTCTTGTATATCTATTCCTTCTAAGAGATAAGGACAATTGCTTTTTCACAATGGCTATATCTTTTTCAAGAAACTTTCAATTTTCAGTTCTCAACATCATCAAGATAATTCATGAAAACCATCCATCCTCTTAGTGGTCCAGTATTTTTCAAAAGGAGAAAAAAAACTCCACTCAAAGTCGGTCGACCATTAAATATTGTGGTGGGTCATCTAGATTATTTTGAAAAATTGATTATAAGAATACGTATGAAAGTGCATCTGTGAAAAATGTGAGGATAAAATACCACTAGCTATATACTGTATAGGTTAATCGAGGAGGTGGATATTATTCCAGATTTTTCGGGATTTTCTCTCCTCGTTTCCATAAAATAAAAATATGAATATTGATTCAACATAACGTGTAGTAAGGACGAATCAGGTGATTTTTCCCAAAATATCACTACGTTTAGAGGATTTTCTATCAGAGAGCTCTAAAGAAAAATTCACTAGCTTGTCAGTGACAATTTGAATTAAAAAAGGTTTGGAAAAAAGGAATGAAAGAATATAGAAAAAATATCAGATTTCTACTTAGCAGAGTGGAAAAATATTAAAATCATTGGAAAAGAAGATAACAGCCATCAGAAGAGAAAAATCAAGGAATCTGCTTGCATTCTTCTGAACGGAGACAATAGCATTGCTTCCTGTTCAGTTGGTATAGATAGATAATCGCATTCACTACTGAAATCTGAAAATGAAAATAGGGAATTCAAGATTAATTAATGAAAACATCCTGTAACTCATTTGATTGCTAACGTCACCAATTGAAGACTTTGGTGCAAAAACCGGTCAAGTCCATATTTGTGCCAAAATGAGATTTCAAGGTGATCATACGTTCGAAAAATTTCTCGATCGATGGGACCAAGAATCAGTCAAGTCCGCCGCCTAATAACTGAGTTATAAGCTTCCCGGACTTGACCGAGTTCATGTTTGGGAGCAAAAATCAGACAAGTCCTGGACTTGTCCGTTTTCTGCACGAACTCATTGAGTTGGCGGGAGGACATGTCTGACTGGGGATACGTGTTTCCTGTTGATACATGTGTAGATCTGTTTAGTCGCAGGTCAGTATGTTCCTGTTATTGCTTGAATACGTATACGTATATACGATCTTTCGGGCTGATCGAGAAAGAAAAGAGGAGGAAGGAACGTGTGCATCTACCAGAAGAATGGAAATCATTGGTGAAGAAAACTTCTAAAAATTTTCGAGTTGTTGATGTAAACCAAGACATGATAATGAACTTCACCGAACATTTCAAACCTATGTTCAGGAACACATTTACTTCCAAGACCAAAATTAGGTTCTCCATCTCAATATATAGACTGTTCAAGTATGAAAAGGACTCAAACTACATTGAATGTTGTGTGGCAACGGCATTTCCATGTTTTAACAAGTTTTCCGCCGTTAAGCCAGGTAGCGTTTTATCACTGCCAACTGAAAGAATGCTCCAGGTATACCCTCTTCCAATAAACGAGAAAAAGATTAAAGATGTGAAAACACTGGTACAGAAATATGTACCTGCATCAGACCAGTGGTATTACAGAATGATCTTTAGAGAACCTGAGGAACAAGCAGAACAAAATGAAGAAGAAATAGATGGAGACGCATTATACGAATCTGACTCTTCCTTTATGTAGTTGCATATATTCTCGTTGATATAATAAAAATGACATAAACCAATGTGCTTAATTTTTTGAACATGATATTTTGGGGCAAAAAACGGACATGTCCAAATTTTCAAAAATTTCTACACCTCGATGATATTTTCCATTTCGATTATTCATCGCATTCAAGCATATATATAGCTAAATTCTATCTGAAAAACAAATCTTATTCTATTATCATTGTTTTTCACAATTTTGGAAGGTTTTTCTCGATTTCCCGCTAATTTTAAAATTTGGACTTGACCGGTTATTGCACCAAGGTCTTCAATTGTCACTGAGAACTGAAAAGTTTCAAGACATACTTATGGACGAGCGAATGATTATTCAAAACCGATAATTCACCCTGTATCTCCGTTATAAAGACTGTGAGACTTGAGTTCTTTCGACCGATTTTTTGACTAAAATATATCGAATAATCATAATTGACACTGGTTTCATAATTTCAATACTCTTCAAATTGACATACTTTCAACTTTCTGTTTATGATTGTTACGATGAGAATTGGTGGCGGGAAAACAAAAAGCATCAAACCCAATTCAGTTTTTCCTCCTCTCCACAATTCTTTTGCTGTATAGTGTTAATTATTAAATACAGTGTGTTATTTTAATATTTCGAATAAATGTAAATTTTTCCTGAAGCTAAACCTGGATTTTCAGTCCGCCCGATAGGTGAATGAATTCAACGTCCCAAGTATAAGCTCCTTACCAAATTTGAGAAAAATATACTGGGTAGGTCAATACATATAGACGAATGAATAATTATTCGAAATCGATAAATCGCCCTGTATCTCCGTTATAAAGACTCTGAGACCTATCAAATATGGTATTTTCAGAACCACCTTGGCGACCCCTATCAACCATTGAAATATTTCCCTTTACCTGTGAAACACCCTGTATATATATTGTGATCATTTCATTTGTTTTCTGTACATGACATCCTAAAATGTACTGTAAACATAACTAGGGCTAATAAATTATTATTATTATTATTATTATTATTATTATTTTCCGAATTCGGAAAATCTCACTTTCATCACTATCACTGAATAATCGTCCCATTGAACACTTGTAATACTTTCACTATCTTACCTTTTGGTATAAACACTCTCACCGACTCAAAACAAACCGATTCCTCGCGCGCCATAGTCCGTTCGTCTTTTATAAGAGCGGGGAACCATCTCCAATTTTACTCCCACTTGGGGGGAAACTTGAATGCAAGATTGACCTGATTGTGAATCTTCAATTTTCGTGTGAACTAAATTCATGATCGAAACGGCATTCAGCCAATTTTCGTAGGTAATACCCCGAGACAATGACAAATAGCAGACTATCATTTTCCTCATAGTTCCATCATGAGTATCTTGTATTTTAACAATTTGATGAGATAATCCAGTTCTCAACACACTGAATGGACCACTCATGTTTCGACTCTTTTTCGAAGAGCTGTATTTTTTTTAAAAATTGACCGATCTTCATGCGCTTTTCGATATTAGATGTGATATTTCATTGGCTTCAAAGAGAGCTAGAACACTCTGAAAAAGTTCGCAGAACAAAACTTACACAGGGTGTGAAGTGGAACCATTACACTATGGTCTACATTTCCAATGCTGGGACCTCATCTCGGGACGTTTTGGAACGAAAATGAGAATTTTCTTCAAAAGTCTTGCATTTCTTGAATTTTTTTTCTAGAACTCCACTTGAGCTGAATATTGGGAAGAACTGTATATTGGGAAGAACTGTTCTCATGTTTTGTGAAGGACAATGAGAGACGGAAAAAGCACCATTGTGGCATATACAGGATGATAAGAAAAGAAGACAAAACCTCATTTCAGTGAAAAAAATCAAAAATGGTGACTAAAACCATGGCCCATTCAATTTAGTATACCCAGAAACGGCCTTCTCGATATCCATTATTTATATTAGACTATTAACTCGAGACATTTTCGAAAATTCACCTCTAATTGAAATACAGGATGAAAATTCTCAACTGAAACTTGTTTCCTGATATCGATGATTCTCATCAACTGATTTCCAATATTTATTGCCCAAGTTTGAGACACAGAGTATTGTTGTTCAATATACTGAGTGTTCCATAACTTATCTGACAAATCACGAATTTAATTAGAAAACAATGATGTTAGAAGAATGTGGTGGCCAACATTATCTCCAGATCTGAATCCAATTGAACATGGTGTGGAGCCGAATGAAACTATCAACCTATCGAGAAGGCGAGAGGCACCCCAAAATACAACCTTATCCAAGCTATATCAGAAGAATGGGAGGCAATATCCAATAGAATTCATCAACAAATGTCAAACTTTTTTTAACGTTACAGAAAAAAAATATTTTCAAATTATCAAAGGGATAATATTACATATTATATATTACATGTGCTTGATCATCAAATGTATAGGTTTCGAATGGAATTTTGGAAATTTGGGACCCGACAATTTATATTTGGAAGATCGATTTGTGATATTGTAAGAGACGTATCACTTTCGTTAAAAATACGCATCATTTTGGAATGATTCGAGTAGCAAATTTTCTCAATAGATTAAGATGTTTATTTATTCAGTCTCCAATATAAAAGAATCTGAAGACGAAACAATAATTATCATTCTGGTCGTGTCTGTAAACCTGCTCCGTTTCTTCTTTGGTCGTCAGTTCAAAATTTCTCTTTAGAAACTTTCTTAGTTTTTTCGTTCTTTCTTCCATTGTATCTCCAGTCGAATCACAATGCTGTTATATCATATACGAGGTTTTCAAACAAGTAGTATTTTTCCGCTGATGACGATGACGAAAACTGAAGAAACTCGAACAACACGTTCACGAGTACCCGCGAGTACCATACCATCAAAAAGTTCAATTTCCTCAAATCGAAGACCCAGTACCTATACAATATTCTTAATCGATACGAAACTCGATTCTGAACAATAACTGTCTCCTAAACTTCTGAATCTATCGTCCATTTTTTTTACTCAACCCATTTGACCCTGACACTACTTTTTCCGATTTTGTAGAGATTTTTCTCAAAAACGGTTGGTAGAAGGTCCCATAAGTCGAGAAAAATTTATAAAAAAATGTTCGATCTCCAGTTTTGGGAAATACAGCTGTCCCTTTGAAAGGACGGTAGGATAAAGGGCTACCTACTGCAGTTTGAAAACTGATGAAATAAATAATATGTTTATATTATATCATACAAAATGCTCAGCAAAATACTTGAAACTTTCAGAAACTAATTAGTATGATAGGTCAAAAAATACGTTATCATCGCCTCATCAAGGCTGTGATTCTCTTCAATTAGGGCATGATTGAAAAACCGTCACTATCGATTCAAAACTTGAAAAAATCCTAACGATCGCGATTGACCTTGTTTGAGGTGTCAACAAAATATAATGTGACACTGGCGACATCTTCAAACCGTCAGCTAAATCAGAAAAATACAGGTTTCGTTTTGAAGTCCTTTCGAAAGGACGGTTGGCGTAAATGGGTTAAGTAAGGCAAAGTTATGACAAATACCTGTATAAGCTAAAATTACTTTGTGTGTCTTGTTTATGTACCTAAAATGACTTTTTGTGTCTTGTTTATGTACCTGTATAAGGTTTTGAATTTACTCGGCCTTTACTTGATGGAAATCCATGGCGAATGTAAAAACTTCACAAACGATAAGATTTCCACAAAATTCTCAAACAATTTTATGAAATGTATCGATAAAAATGTACACCACTCACTTCAATTCAATTTCGATAATTCCTTGAGACTGAGCGACTAAAACTTCAGCTTTGTTGTCCTCTGGATTCTTTTTACTAGATAAAAAGTGAAAACTATTTTATTGCATGTCCTGTTATCATACAAAAAATTTACAAAAACTGTGACCACTTGCAACAATGACTTCAAATGTCAATCACTTTGTACAGGGTGATTGACTATGGATTTCTCGACTTCAACAGCTGATATTTCGAAAACGAAAAAAGATATTAGAAATTTGGAAAAAGGTACTTGAATGAGATGTCATTTCCTTCTAGAAAATGTGTTCTCTGCTTGATTTCATCATTTCATATACAGGGTTCGTGAAAAAAAAAATTTTTTCAAATGGAACCCCCTGTATAATATCGCATATTTCGAAAGAGCTATCTTTCCTGATTTCGAAGATATATACTTTTCATATATTCTATCGAGGGCTTGATGAAATATCAGCAAAATTAAATATTATTATTTGGTCCAAGTTAGCCATGGTTGAAATAGAATGAGATGATGAATATATCCAGTGACATAAGTGCGCCAAATTTCCACAATTTTCTCACGATGCCATATCCACTGGAACAAAGAAGAGATATTTTGGAGTGCTATTTTTCAGTAATAAAAATCTTACCTATCTGTGTATATCTATCAAATTTGAAACATGAATTATCAAGAAGAAACTTCAACACCCTGTATCTTGGAAACAATGCATTTCCGAACCTACATTTATGGGAACTTTTTTTCATAAAAGGATCTGAGGAATCACCCCGTTAAATATTGTATCGTCTACGTCTAAGATAAGATTTTCTTCCATCAAAGGAAAAAATGGAGGTATGCTTTAATATATTCTTGCAATTATTCAGGAATCATTTTATTGATTTGTTCATAAAAAAATATAGAAAAAGAAAGCATTTTTGCAACTTCTTCTCATTGAAATTATTCCAACAACTTTCTCTAATCTTTCGGAATGTCTATATGATATCAACTCATTTAGCAAAAAATTCTAGTTCCTCACGTTTAACGATGCATTTTATCAAGAGATTTCATCATCAATCATCAAATACTCACATTTCACATTTTTATTACCACATGTATATGTATGAGCTTCTTCAATTAATATTCCGAGTGAATTTGCTTCAATGTATCAAAAAATTTCAATACAAAAAATTATAATTTAAAATAAAACGTTATAATGGTGAATGAGAACTATTACCAATTTTTTTTATTTGTCAACAGTAAGAACATGAGCAAGACCATAGGTCGAGCAGTTTTGTCTGATTCGAGTTAGTGAGGAAATTTATCCAATTAAAAAAAAGTTCGAGTGTTTTTTGGCAAGATAAATCAACGACAATATACAAATAAACAACAATAATGATTATACCTTTATTCAACTCAATTCAATTCAATATATGCTTTATTGCCATAAATACATTTGTATTTGTTGACAAAAGCTCGTACATATAGGTACATATTTGAATGAAATATAATAAACAATATGCGATTCAAAATGTGAAGCTTTCGGAAACACATTTGAAAATATACAATCAATAGCTCGTATAAAGCCTTCGTTAAAAATTAAAAATAAAGAAAAACAAAAATTGACTAAAATAAAACATATAAAATATTATAATAAAACTATCACATGTGAGAGCTCCTATAAAGCCATAGTCAAATATTTAAAGAGACTATGTTGTATAAAACGATCCTTTTAGGAACTAATCAAGAAAGGAAGGAATATATAATTTTAGAGTCTCTTTGAAAAATGTTCCTCGAGGTTGTATAGTGGAGTCTGAACGAGCAATATTTTCACCTTGGTCCGGAATTTTTTGTTGCACGGAATTTCTTTGATATGATTTGGCAAATGATTGAATATTTTTATTCCATTATATATAATGGGGTCTTTGATCATAGCGGTACGGAGTCCTATCAATTCAACTTGTCCGTTCTGTCTGTCAGGATGCCGCAATTCTTGAATAAATGTCTACTTGATTTCGCTCCACACATATATCTTTGGGCCTGTTTTTGTAAGACAAAACTCCTCTGGAATAGCTGATCACTGGCAGACTCCCCAGAATGCAATTCCATATCTCAAATGAGATTCGATGAGGGCAAAGTATGCAGCTCTAGCAGTCACAAATCTGCAGCAATAGTTCTAACAGCGAAGCATCCAGAGGCCAACTTTATACACATAGATGTTACATGTTCATTGAATATTAGTTTTTTGTCAATGTATTCACTTCCCATACCTAAATTTGGTAGATTGCTATGGAAGGATAAGATATTCGTTTTGTTCATATTGAGCGATAGTAGATTTGAATCACACCAGTTATTAATTACTTCAATATCGTTCATAATAGTTGTGACAGTACAGCTCCACTCATTTCTTGCCAGAGGATAGTGGTGTCGCCAGCAAATAAAGTGATTTCACCTTCAATGTCTAAAAGAACTATGTCATTCACATACAGTAAAAATAGCAGTGGTCCAAGGACTGATCCTTGCGGTACACCATGTTTGATATGTGTGGTCTTTGATACGCTGCATCTTTTGACAGATTGTTGACGACCTGTAAGGTAAGTCTCAAAACATCGGAGCCGCCTATCAGTAAAACCGTATCGATGCAGCTTCCACAGCAGTATTTGATAATTTACGCATCGAATGCTTTAGAAAAATCACAAAACACTGCCGCAGCAGCTGCCCCTATCTTTGAGCTCGTATACACCTCCTCCATGAAGGAAAACAGAGCATCATTTGTGCTTTTTTGGTTAAATTGATGATTCCGTGTAAGGAGCAGGTAGTTTATCAGCGATAAAAAAATTGCATCCTTTTTTATCGATGTCAAAATGACTGAGGTCGTCGTGAAATAGCGTTTTCCGTGTAGGAGTTGATTTATCAACTGTAAAGTTTACTTTACTTGTAATCAAATACATGATCTGTAATCTTCTTCAAATTATACTGATTTCCGGTAATTTTTCTGTTTCTACAAACTCGATATCCATCCAGACAGAGTCACTAACTGGGTTAACCTCAACGAAGTAATAACAGTGATTTCAAACAGCAACAACAATATAATCAAATCCTCAAAGAGAGTGAATCTTGTTCTTTTACACATTATAGTAATTACTGCGTAGGTAGCAGGTCGAATACAGTGTCTACGTATGTTTTAGAAGTGCGTTAGAAGATATTGAAGATGATGATAATGATGATTTTGAAATTGGAATCGGATATTTCCTGGAATTGTGTGCTACTCCTATTAAGAGGAGAGTTTCAACCAAATGGTCATGCAGACCTGTACTATTTTCTGCTTTTTGGGCTTTTGAATGATTCAATTGAAAAACTAATTGAATCATCGTAAAGGAGAAGGTTTGGGACTAGGGTCCGGTTATCATACGGAGTCGAAACTCATTCATTTATAGAAGATACAGATTTTTGGAAAACGTAAACATTGAAAATTTTTTGTCTCAAATTGAAATATTTTTGATCTCAGAACAATTGTTGGAAATTCGGCGAGATTTCACAAAAATATCAGCTCCTGAAATGTTTCCATTTGGACAAAAAGCAACAAAAACGATTATTCTGTCAACAAAATATCCATTCATCAAGCAATACGCCCTCTTGTGGATATTCAATTAACCAATGGAAAAGTAGTCATTGCGATATTTTTAGAGATTGAATTCTTCAGTAGAATATCTTGAATCATTAGTGCTTGGTTCCACATATTTTTCATGAAAGTTTTCTGCATTTCACAGAAGATGATGATTTCAATCAGTGTATGATTGAAAGATATTCTCCCAACTTCGATATTGACTTCAGTTGCATTTCATTACCAGAAGTGGAGTTACAGAAGGGATTTGATAAAATGAATTCCTGACTCTAAAGCAAAGTACATATTATGTTGAATTGTTCCTACCAGAGGTAGATCAATTATTCGCAACTTTGAGGACATTTTTTTTCAACTTTAAAACAAATATTGCTCGGAAATTCTCATCCTCTTAAAATAATTAATTCCATACTCTACAACTCAGAAATTCGAATTCAGCAAATAGTTGAAAGGTCTCCAGATAACTCCCAAAATGTGCTATTACCCAAATATAGATCTCTACCTTACATAGAAGAACTCACTCCAAGACTTTCTATAGTATGTTTTAAAATGAAAATATTATCATTGCAAAAAAGACCATTGAAACTGTATCTTCTCTTATTTCAAAAACTAAAACTCCATTTAAAACACTGGAAAAAACGAATGTTATATATAGGATTCCCTGTCTCAAATTGTGACTTGGTATACATTGGTCAAACTTCGAGGAATTTATCAGGCCGTCTCACCTTTCATAAAACTGATTGCAGATGCAACAAAAAAAGATGTGCACTAGCAGAACATGTCATTGAATCTGATCATCACATGAATTTTAGTAATGTCAAAATTTTAGCTAATGAAAATAATCATGTCAAACGCAATTTTTTGGAAATGGTTTTTATTAACACTGAACGAATTACAAGCTAACGTCACCTCAAGTTGGGGTATTATTATTTGAAGTAGTATTGATAGTTTTTGGATGTAAGATAAATTGATATTCATCATACAGGACGTGTAAATAAATTCTGAATTGAGAAAACCAAATCAATCAAAAAGTATTAAAAAGGATTATTCTCAGATATATTTATGAACACAAAAAAATGGATATATATATAAAGAAATACATTGAGAATTCGCATTCTCCATGTGATGAAAATATTAATTCTTTCTCGGTTTATTCAACAGAAATCAACTACTTTCCTGGCTATATGCCACGACGAATATTGAATTACATCTATTAAACATACACGATAAGAATTTGAGAACAAAATCTTCTGAAGTAGAGAATTTGCATTCTCCTCCAATAATAATAATGATAATCTTTATTTTCCTTTAAGACAAAGTTACAAAATTTGTATAGGAATCGTCAAAAAAACAAGAAGAGAAAAGGAGATTGGAGATTTAAAAAATCCTGAAAAAAAGAGGACGAAAACTACATACTTATACACAAAAAATCTTCGAAACTATAATAACACTTATCAACGAGATGATTCTTGAGTGTTCGTTTAAACATTGAAACAGTTTTGAATTCTTTTATAAAATCTGGTAGCAAATTATAAACACGTGGAGCCATCTGGTCAGGAGATTAGAAAGCTAATTTGTTTTTTCCAAATGGTAAAAAAACATTGTTTTTTTGACTTGTATCAATATTATGTTCACATTTATTCAGTACATACAATTTATTTCTATTCTCGAACACAGATAAGCACAAGTCAAAAATTAAAAGACTAGGGACAGTTAAAATTTTTAAATTTCTGAAAGCTGGCCTACATGAATCAAAGAAACCTATGCCACTAATGATTCGTATGAGTTTTTTTGTGCTATGAAGACATCAGAGCAGCTAGAGGAAAAAACCCCAGTAGCACACTCCATATCTCAGTCTGGAATCCACCTGAGCATAGTACAGCTTCAGCAGCTGATCATCATTTAAAACCTGCCTTATATTCCTGAACTGATTTGAGGTAGAGTTAATTTTTTTGATCATCCTTCATATAAAGATATGCATATAATATAGAATATAATATGTATAATGCATCATCATCATCATTAATCTAAGATTTTTCATTCAGACTTCTTGAGTTAGTTCAATGGATAAATGTTGTAACTTATTTCGAAATAATGTCAATATGTTCTTATTAGGTAATACCCTGATGATCTTTGCTGAAGACATCAAAAGTAATGAAGCTATTAGCTATTGTTCTCACACCTTTCACTCAACATTTAGACGAAAAATGAACCGACGATGCAGTTGCAATCTCGGACAAAACATACATAGTGTAATAATGAAAGTCTATTCGCGAAAGATAGAAAATGGGCTCCGTATATAAGATAATATAATAAATAATTACTCAATAGGATGTCAGGAGGTAGGTATATTGCAATGTTACTAATGAGTTGAATAATTGTTAATTCAAGAGAAAACCGTTCATATCACAGAATTACGAGGTAATTTACAAAAAAGTGACTTCTAAATGATCAGAGAGATTATGAATTCAATTTTTTCACAAGTCTGAAAAATACTCGCCACAGAGACAAATAACAAAACGAAATCATCTCTGAAACAATCGTATTCATTTTTGACATAGAAAGCAGAGCAAAACAAGTTATATCCCCTTTCATTTTTTCAAAAATTTCAAGTTGCAAAATCTATCGATTTGTTCCTAAATTGTTTCATTCAACATAGAATTATATAGGGAAATCAGGTTTTTCCTAGCAACTGTTCCATGAGTGGAGAAAATTCAACACAGATATACAGGATGTTTCAAAAAAATCTGACCCCCTTGCTAGGGTGGGTAGAACACTGCAAAATAGGGTGAGTTTGCTCATTGAAAAAATGTCGTAACGGCATCCGTTTTCATGATACAAGGTGTTGAAAAAATGATTTTTTTACACATTTCTCACGAAATGATGTCGAAACTACTGGCAACATTGTGATGAAATTTTGTATGGATGTTTATTGAAATCTGACACATCGCATGAATTTATTTTTATATCTGACTCTCATAGAGGGCGCTAGTTACACGGTTCGTATCAAGTAGTTCAGAACATAACTTTTTTGAGGTTAGATTTTTCAATCCCAATATGATATGAACTTGAACATCATTCAATTTCCCACCATGAAGGTACTCTTAGGTGAAACTCGATACTATGTTCCGTTTTCGGAATATTCCGATTTGAAAATAATGGAGTAATAGCTGATGCTGGTATAAAATGAATTTTATTGAATTCAATCACCTATTTATTCAGATTCGGAAACAAGGAAATTATTCTTGTGCTGAAGTAATCGATGAAACAAAGAATCATAAGTAGAAAATCTAGATTTATTAGTGTCAAAAGTGACACTTTGTTTGACAAGCGAATTTTGCATTTGCGAGGCGGAGTGTTTAGCAAAGCCGAGCGAAAGCAAAATTAGCGAGTAAAACAAAGTCACTTTTTAGAGTAAAATAAAATATCGATAAAAGTGTTCATTTATTTCGTTACATGGATAATCAACTAGTAACAAAGATAAAAACAATTTTTTTATAAATATTCCTTCATGCTGATGGTTTTGCTATAACTAAACCTATAAATAAATATCAGGAGTCTACACAGTAGGGAATGAATGAAAATGTTATATCATTATACTTCTAACACTAATTCAATCTTATTTGATCGATATCATGAACTTCAATTATCTGAAAATGGAAATGGCTTCAGCTCCACCTGACTATATTCATTTACTGGCAATATGTATAAGATCATAGACTACCTCAACTCTCAATTTGCCATGACAGTCAAAATAAGACAATCCAACTTGAAGCTACAGCACATTATAAATATTATAACCAATTAATTTCCATCGTCCCAGCAATATATTGGCAAAAATCACATCGAAAATGACAGATATACATCGAACTATACTCCATCAGTTATTCATTCCATAATGTCCTTATTCTCACTTATATACCTCGCTAGTAACCCTATTACACTAGGATCTGAAAAACCGTCCTTCAAAGAAAATTGAGCTAATGCATTGCCGTATTTCTGTTTGGGATCTGAGCTCATCATAGGCAAAGGCCTAGAAGCTCTAGGAGTACTAATATCCTCAAGCAGGTCCTTAAAGATAGCTTCATCCTCACTCTGACTCTCATCAGTTTCTTCTTCCTCTTCAGATCGGTCTTCTCCTGAGTTCTCTCTCTTGATTATCTTCAATGGCGTTCCAGGACCAGAAACTACTGAAACATCCAACGAAGAAATTTTTTCGATACTGGGTTTCTGAAGGTTTGTAGTGTCTATAATTTCAACATCCGTGTCTTTGAAACTAGTTTGATTCTTCGTGCTTTCATCCACATTGTCAATCGCCACCTTAGTATGTGGTGTCGTTGTTTCGATGTTGCGATCTTCTGGAAGCTCTTTCTCCTCAACCATATCGTTCGCTTCTGTTCTATCCTTGCTGCCTTCCACGCTAGCATCTTCGCTGTTCAAAATAGAAGAATGCTTAGCTTTCGGAGTAGTCAACTCTTTACTCTCTTCACTAGTTTCTTCCAAGCTCTCGACTGATGCAGATGAGCCACTCGTTGTGGATTCAGTGTCTTCGATATCTGTTGGTGCTGGCTGCATCAATAGTTCCTCAGGCAACACTGCCCTCAGATTCACCAAGGTATCCGTGTTGGTCTTCAACCACTCGCTGTGGGTGATATTCGAAGGTACAGTCTTGTTGCTCCTTATGTCTAGTACCCCTGGGAAGATCTTACTAGCAGTCCCGTTATTGTCCAGTGTTTTATTCTCATCTACTTCAAATCTTTGTGAGGTGTCTTCCATGTTAGGACTCAAGATTTCCGGTAACGGTGGGTAAGCTGGGTTGATTTCTGTGACGATTTCATGTTCTTTTGGAATTTCTGTTTGTTCGGGCTTCGCTGCAGCAGCAGTGATGTTCTCAACTTGTTGCTTGGGTTCCTCTGACAGTGTCTGGTCTGGCTCGGTAGTACTACTCACTTCTTCCTTTGGATTTGAAGAGGTGCTACTATAGTCTGAGCTGGTTTCTAGCAGGTCAGTTGTGGATTCTGTGGAAGAAGGTGACTCTGTGGTAGTGACTTGGTTCTTTCGTTTCACCAGCGACAGTATATGCGTGCTTGCAGCCGTATTCAGCAGGAGAACATTAAGGTCTTCGCTATCAGCTAGCTCCAAGGCCTTCTTATCTTCTATGCTAGTTTGTGCAGGTTCCGTTTGATTTTCTTCTTTGCCCTCGTGGAATTCTGAGCTCTCCTCGAATCCTCTTTGAAGTCCCTCGGCCCCTATTATGGTTATCACGGAGCTAGGGGTACTGGCGTTTATCTCAGGTACCAACTCCCCCTTTTTCAAAAACAACAGCTTGTCTCCGATTCTGAGGATGGGGGGTGGTTGTTGAAAGATCTCTGAGACCTCACTAGACTCTGCCTCTGCATCTGTGACCACCAAGTCGTTAGAGTTGTTGATGAAATCCTCTTCGATGATCAAGGTGCCTTGGAAATCGGTGCTTACTCTGGGTGACGCAGTGACTGGTATTTCTTTGATTTCTGGTATGATTTCTTGTATCGTTATTTTCGCGTGGGCTTCTCTTTGCAGATCTTCCACTTCTAGGGCTTTGTAGTTGGAAGTGGTTGGATCGTAGTAGGAGGTGTCTGGTATCTTGTTTTCTTGGATGTCATCTGATGTTCTTTCGAAGATAATTTCGGTGGCGTTTGGAGGTAGACCTGTCATTGGCCAGAGTTCGTATGGGTTCTTGTTTATGTTCGGCAAGACTATCTCAGTGGTGTAGGGTGATCTTTCTGGTATGGGATCTGGAAAAACGAATATAATTTAATAAGTAGATACATATCCTTTGGCCATTACCACGAATGTTCATAAAATGGAAGATGACGGGAGAAAAACGATTCATTTTCTGGTTGATGCCACGCAGAACATTGAATTATCAGCCATCAGCCAGGAAAGTATAGTTCTCTACAACGTCTACTACGTCATCTACCATTGTTGTTCTTTTCATGAACATTTGTGGAGATGAATTCGAGTTTTGTATCTATGTTTTTGATATTCACACATTATTGATACACACTCCACTAAGATTTCATGGATTTCTACTACAGATTCAGTTATTCACCTATCAATTGAACACAAAATAAGATGATTGTTTCAACTAAATCGCACATAGAACTAACTTTGAAGTGAATGCAAAGAGCAAGAACCTTTCTGTTGCCTCAAAGAGAATCTCCTATTGAAACAAAAAAGCCTTGTTGAAACAGATCAACCTACGGCGTGGGTATACATCAATTCCAGATCTAATCCAGACAGAATTGTGGCTGATCCAACGAATTCATACTGTTCATTTCTTTCTGAAGATATCATCTATTGAGCAGAACATGTGAAATTGAGACCGATGAAATGAATCCAGTGTTCATCAATATTGCTCTCTAATCTAATCATCATCAATTGAGCAGTGAAAATGTAGAAACTTCTGTCATGAGAAAAATATGCTATAATTATCTCACCGATAGGGGGACAATGGTCGTATTTGGGACAGCAGGTACCAGGGACCCGTTTTCCTTCGCAGTCTTTCCTGATGTAGCAGGATACTTCGGCACATTGGACTTCTCCACCCCTGCAGTAGCATACTTTGCATTCTCCGCCAGGCGGCGTTTCTAGTTTTTCCCCGTTAGCGTAGAATTTTCCGTGATGTTCACATTCTATAAAAAAAAGAAACATAATGAATCGTTTCGGGACAATGAGGGCTACAATTATTATATTGTCCACCTAATCGCGCCACTAAATTGTGAGATCAGAGTTGGTAGAAATGATAAATATGCTTCTTTTTTTCTTGTCATTCGGCCTCTTCTCAAGATATCTTCTTCTTCCGTCAATGTGAGACTCGATCGTAAAGTTGCAAATTGTGCATGTCTGCTCAATTCTTTAGATAATTTGAGGTTTTCCATTAGTTCAAATATTCTTCATCCATTTTGTCCGGATATTTTCGGTTATAATTGCATAAATGCATGAAAATTACCAATAATTTTGCAAGAAACCGTGTTACCTAAAAATTCATTCCATATTTTGGCGAGAGAGCAGGGCTCTTTTGCAAAATATGAAAACGAATGCAATTTTTGAATGCAAAATAATCTTGTGATTTATATACATCTTAATATCTCACGATTTAAGGCGACACGGTTTCAAATTTGTTGTTATGGAGACGGGATGTTTTCGCAGTGCAATGTTAGCTCTGCAGTGCAATTATCGCTGTAATCTATCGATAATTACATTGCTCTTATGAGACATTTCATATATTTGAGGAAAATATCCGATATAACAGTAACAGCATTCAGGCTATTTGGCAAAATTTTGGGATTTTTGACTTTGACATGATAATGAACAGAGATATATGAATAAAAGTCATAATGAGAGAGCAAAAAATGGACGGTCTTAAAGAATATCACAGCAGAAATACTGGACATTAAAAATTACTGTATATAACACTCAAACATAAAAATTATATTATATATAATGAATAAATGAACCGTATTCTGCACATGCGCATTGACGATCGGCGCATACATTTCACCACACTTTTGACCTATCAAAATATCTAAATAAATGATGTTTTAGAAAAACAATTATTATTTCAGGAATATCACTATCATTAGCATGGTCAGTGATGGTATAATAATAACAAATGATACAACTTGTTTTGAAAATAGCAAGGTATGAATAGCTACCTATTTACAATTGAAATAAGGTTCAACCATTCATTAAAATTGATTACGTTAATTCGAAGCTATTCAGATTTTTTAACAATTAACTTCAGTGTTATAATCGTGATGGAAATTGATATTGACAATGAACCTGATTGTGAGAAACCGGACATGAATAAATACTTTTTTATTTAAAATTTAATTATTCATGATCAACATATCGCAACTGAGGATAACCAATCATCAATTCATTGTTTTCACATCTTTATTCGAAATATTTCTTCATATAAGGATGTTAGGTAGCAATTTTTTGATTTTCGCATTCTGTACTGACACCAGTCGTGAGAAAAAAGTAATTTTCAAAAAGGGGCATTCTATAACCTGTCAACAGATATCAAATTTGGAACGTTTTCCCGTCACAAAAAAAACTCTCTTCTTTTTAGCATCTTTTCTTCATAATCTAATAGGTCCCCACGACGCTCGAGTATATCTCCATTTAGCCTTTTCACCTCCTCTACTAAAAATAGAACAACATCTTGTCACTTGGCAAGACATGGAGATGACAGTTCCATATACATCGTGTAATCGTCTCAATAAAATACATTTCGTGCTCACAATACCATCGAAAGTTTTGTTAAAAATCTTGAACTAGATCAAATTGCTTCGAGGTACCACAAAGCAATTGGATCTCGTTGAATGAGGAAGTTTCCTCTATTGAGGTTTTCATCCCACTGTGAAGTTTATGAAAAATTTATATATACTGTTTTTTTCTTTTTTTCGTAAGATCAAATTTCACTTCAGAAAAAAACAATTAAAGAGGAACTTGGCTCCTCCACCATTTCTATGACGTACTTTCTGAAAATCCACATTTACACTGAGTTAAAATACGATTCCCTCTGCCAGTACGACGTTGCCGACATCATAAATATGTTTAGATTTCTGGAAATTGTTCTTTGAATGCATAATAACTATCTCATAACAGCAATGGGATATAATAGATTCTTCAATCCTACTTTGTCTAGAATTATGAATAATTCCCATAAATCTCCCATTGGCTGACTGAAGTTTATTACTATAATGATTACATATTCGTAACTTGTCAGTCATCTGTTTGCTGAAGCATTCGTTCCTTAATAAAACGGATCTATTTTCTAGGAAAGTTGCAGATTATTATATCTTGCAACAGCGCCTAATACTTCGAGTCCGTCCACACCACTCAAAATACTGATAGGACCAGCAAAAGGATGGAGTCATAGGTGTCGGCTTCATTCTGTTCTGACCGATGGCAGTAAATTAGGAAGGATAGTATCATTGAATGTAGCCGATATTGATTCATTGATTCGATGATATTTTCATTCAGGATCGAGCTCCATTCAAGATATTTCAATGCATAAATAACAAAACCATAACCTGTCAGAATGAAGCCAACTGCCTTCTGCATTCCTACTCCGAATGCATTTATGGTAATTCATGTTTTCGTTTACCAGTTTCACTTCTTTTTCTATTTTTTCAATTCGTTTTTCATTCGTTAGCTATTCGTTAGCTATTCGCTAGCTATATTCTTCACCATCAGCTATTTTCAGACTAGATTCAGAATGTACGTCACAGTTTGCCCCGAATATAAAAAATTGCTTTAATTTTTGAATGAAAACGACTTGGACTTTATCGGTCGCCATTCTGTACAGCGTGGACAAAACAAGTCCACTGTATAATGCAATAAAATTCTATAACAATCTTCCACTTGAGATGAAAGCTATGCAAAATAACAAAAGATTCCTTGGCTCGGTACGAAATTACTAACTGATGTTGGAGCCATACTCAGCCAGTGATTTTTTCAGTATGTGATATATTTTTCAACTCGATTTTTGATATGTGATTATATTTTATTTGTGCGTGTATGTATTTTTGTGAAATTTTGAACTATTTTTTAAACTGTAGTCAGAAACGACTTACTTCTCAGACGCGTAAAACAACTCTGATGTAGAAGAGAATAAATTACCTATCTTATCTATCTATCTCACGATGTTCTCTGAACATTACAGGATTTTCCTTTACGTGGGAACCAGAGAACATGAAAAAAATAGCATCGTACTCACCACATTGGTAGTCAGGGCAGCACTTGTTTGGTTTGTGGATAGCTTTGCACCCAGGTCTCTTAGCACACTGGATGGTCTCGCATTGCACTCCCGGTGGTTGGCATTTGCATTTCAAGCAGGGTTGCTCTGCTGGGACTGGTTCTTCTGTACCATAGACTACGTCTCCAACAATGCAAACTGAAAATTATCAAATTGTTATACAAACAAAAATAGTGAAAAAGTTCACATGAAAAAGAGCCATACACAACGTTTTGTTTTCTACTTTGGACCAAAACTGTATAACCTTCTGCCTGAATGTTGAAAAAACACGAATGAAATCGAACATTTCCAAACTGCTCTCAAACAATGTAATATGCTTCACAATGCACTCGTGTTCAAAATTCTCTTTAATAAAATGTCATCTCTATCTTTTATTAATCTTTTCCTCTTTTCTCTCCAATGATTATAAGTATGGAAAAGCACTGTTCTTGTTCATCGAATAAAATATTTGTTATGAATTTTAACATGATAACCCTCCCATGCTTCATGAGGGAGAGATGCAAAACAGGCAGCCTGTTGCCTAGGTGTTTCTTGCTCATGTTCACAAGAGAAAAACAAAACTACCAAAGAATTTTTTGTACTCAGTATCATCAAATCTTGAGCCTGAGATGATGGTTTCATGTGACTATGTAATGAAACAACCTAATATCATACATGTACCTCACATTTTATGCCTGATTCGGAAATGTTTAGACTTTTCCGATATTTTGATCAGAGGCATAAAAATAAAAGGTGGGGCTAGTGGCTTTTCTCCCAACTTTCTTGATTATGCCGTTGTTTGATATATCAATCAACGATTATGCGCAGCGAAGGGAGACAAAAAACCGTTAGCTAAAGTCTAATATTTCTCCCGTGTATAATGCACTATTTTTTCATGAGACAGGGAAAAGGACAATTCAATATTGAGAAGATATCACATTATATCAAAATCAGGAACTACACCTGCGTTGTTGACATCTTTTTGCAGGCATATTTATCATTTTTTTTAAGTAATCAAATATCTGTCAGTCTAATTCTGTATTCTGATTTTGAAAAAATGCGAACTTAGTGGTTGTTTAGTAATATACGTAACCTCGAATTGAAATGAAAGATAAAAATACTTTCAGTTTTTGCTTAGGGATGGTGTTATTGGTTCATATTTCAGAACTGGCACAACAAAAGCCATCAACAATGCACCTACATATCTGGGAGAAACAAAATAACATTTTTTACGAAAAGTGACATCCTATAACCTGCCAACAGAGATAGCATGTATAACTTCTTTTTCTACAAGCGCAATTTAGTTTGGGATATTTCATTTTCTCGCACTAGTGCGGGAAAAACGTAAAATTTGAGTGGTGGGTGACACAATATCAAAATTTTAGTTTTTTTTGTTGCAGTATATAGTAAGTAAGTACAAAATCATCCATCAAATTGCACTATTTATTGTGAAAAAGAAGGAATATTAAAAAATAATAATTGATTGTTATATAAATCCCCCTATAGCCTCTAATTGATCTAATGTGAGAAACAATTGTTGTTATGCCAATCAAAACACGAATTAGTTGGTGTAATTCTCAGAGTGACAGACAGAGCGTCACTGTCATTTTCGATTCAGCGGAATTGCGATGAAAAACTTCCAGCTACAGATGCGATACAGATGAGTTATTGCCAACGAAGTCTTGAGAAAGGTATAAGAAGCACTACACGGGATTTATTGAATGGAGCAATAGTGAAAAAGTGAAAACACTAAATAAAGAAGTAGTATTTTTGGCTCATTTCCTAGAAATGTCTGAAACCTAGAGGCCAAACACCAAGGGCATGCTGGCTTCCGCAATAAGCTTACCTACATAATGCTTCAAACGACACACACAATAGATATATCACTAATTATTAGTTGTTCCTATTTGCAGGAATAATTGATTGAACAAAGCAATCAATTTTCTACGCTTATAGAAAAAATATTGTTCCTAACTCATGCGAAAAGTGTCTTTCCTGCACTCGACTACTTGCCCGAACTCTGCTTCTTGTCGTTCGGGTCAACGGCATTCGCGTGCGGGAAAGTATGACTTTCCGCACTTGTTAGGAAAATTACTATTCCGTCACAAGGAAAAAAATAATACACTAGGAGTACAGAAATTATATTATTTTTAATAGGTATTTTTTATATTCATCCTCTACGACACTGACCTGGGTGATGCTTCTGGATATTAACTTGGTCTTCTCAATTTACATTAGCGCATCCTAATGAGTGGAGGTAACTTAGGCAGAAGGCAGATAAAGATAAAGGGGTTTATTTGCAGAGAAAACGTTCGAATTTGCATGTTTTAGCTACGGTTCGCAATTATTCCTAAGCTTTACATTGGATGAAACCTGAATCACTGAATGAATGTACTCCATTTCCTCTCTCTAGGGTTCAGAAAATAGTGTTTTTCTTCTGCTATTACACAAAATTGCTCTTGTTTTACTTTGTTCGATACGTCAATGAGGTACTTTATATGTCATCAATATTATTTCCGTATCTGATATCACAATGACTCCATTGTGTTATTATTTCAAAAAAATCTCATCGCTCATGCAATGTCAAATGTAAAGCAATATGAAATACGAACTCTGGCCAATGACAGGTCTACCTCCAAACGCCACCGAAATCATCTTAAAAAGAACATCAGAAGACATCCAAGAAAACAAGATACCAGACACCTCCTACTACGATTCAACCACTTCCAAGTACAAAGCCCTATAGAAGTGGAAGATCTGCAAAGAGAAGCCCACGCGAAAATAACGATACAAGAAATCATACCAGAAATCAAAGAAATACCAGTCACTGCGTCACCCAGAGTGAGCACCAATTTCCAAGGCACCTTGATCATCGAAGAAGATTTCATCAACAACTCTAACGACTTGGTGGTCACAGATGCAGAGGCAGAGTCTAGTGAGGTCTCAGAGATCTTCCAACAACCACCCCCCATTCTTAGGATCGGAGACAAGCTGTTGTTTTTGAAAAAGGGAGAGTTGGTACCTGAGATAAACGCCAGTACCCCTAGCTCCGTGATAACCATAATAGGGGCCGAGGGACTTCAAAGAGGATTCGAGGAGAGCTCAGAATTTCACGAGGGCAAAGAAGAAAATCGAACGGAACCTGCACAAACTAGCGTAGAAGCTAAGAAGGCCTTGGAGCTAGCTGATAGCGAAGACCTTAATGTTCTCCTGCTGAATACGGCTGCAAGCACGCATATACTGTCGCTGGTGAAACGAGAGAACCAAGTCACTACCACAGAGCTACCTTCTTCCACAGAATCCACAACTGACCTGCCATAAACCAGCTCAGACCATAGTAGCAGTTCTTCAAATCCAAAGGAAGAAGTGAATAGTACTACCGAGCTAGACCAGGCACTGTCAGAGGAACCCAAGCAACAAGTTGAGACCATCACTGCTGGTGGAGCGAAGCCCGAACAAACAGAAATTCCAGAAGAACATGAAATCGTCAGAGACATCAACCAGCTAACCCACCGTTACCGGAAATCTTGAGTCCTAACATGGAAGACACCTCACAAGGATTCGAAGTAGATGAGAATAAAACAATGAAAAATAACAGGACTGCTAGTAAGATCTTCCCCGGGGTACTTTCGTTATGGGTACAAGGGCCTACTTACCAATTCGAAACTTCAAATTTCATATCGATAATTTTCTGATCTCGTCAATATGTTTTGATATATTTTCGAAATCAACGTGTTTACACGGGAAAAATATCAGATTTTACCTTTCGGTATTTTGTCTCCCAACGCGAAGCTCGCTCAATAAAAACGAACACTCTGTAAATAGCTGATTAACTCCCTATTCAATTCATCATTCTTCAGCTTAAGCTCTCCCGGGCCAAACGGAAAAATGTTCCGGATGCGGAAAAGGCTTTCCATATATTTTCGACTCACCTTGCGCTTGATTTCCCTCGTTTTCCGAATCCACTTCCGGATAGACTTCCCTCACCATGCGGCTGAGCCTTTTCGTCGGTCCTGCATCAGAAATTGAGGGGTAAATAGAGGGTTGGATATCAAGGGTAGTTTGTTAAATACTGTATGTAGGTTAATAGAGGAAGTGGTACATTCATTATACCAGATTTTTTGGGATTTCCTCTCCACGTTTCTATGAAATAAAAATATGAATATTATTTCAATATATGTACAATTCATTTCAAAACAAGACGACTTCCGAAAAAAATCTAAAAACTAGACTTCAGAACTTTATTAATTCATGTAATTTTTTAAATAGGCGACCCTTCGTTGTTCAATTCTCAGTAGCAGACCTCTGCAAGGTTCAGTTAATCAAATGATAATCCATTTTAATTTCAATTTTCTTATGCAAAATGTTGACTGTTGAATAGACGATCAGTAGACATTTCAAACGAGGTGTCACATGACCCCTGTTTTCATTTGAAAAGGACAAATCAGATGATTTGCCCCAAAATATGTCACTGCGTTTGGAGGGTTTTTATATCGGAGATCCTGAAAGAAAACTTCACCAGCTTATCAGTGACAATTCGAATTGAAAAAGGTTTGGAGAAGAGAAATAAAGCTATATAGAAAAATTATCAAATTTTCACTTGGCTTTGGACGTTTCAGGAAAGAATACTTATGGGACGCCCTGTAGGTCGGTGACCTAATGTATTCTCAAATTCCGTATCAATGCATAATGAATATATCAAAAACAACGTAATATACGAGTTTGTGATTATTGCAACAATATGAATACAAACAATTGCATTTCATAATCTCGAAGCAAATATGCTTGAATGAAAGTTTTACAAGAAAATTACTATTGTAATGTTTATGTTTCACATGTGTCAATGAAATGATCATTAGAGGAATTATAAAACTACACTACAGGGTGTCTATCGTACAAAAGTCTAGAGCAAAACCCGAGCCAAATCGCATAAATATACAGGGTGTAATTTGATAGATGGTTGACAATAGAGGATATGGTTCCTTAGCTCAATTAGGAAGGAAAGTTCGTATGAACATAATATATCCTAAACTTAACTCAAAATTAATTCAACTTAGAGATCAAACCCAACATAGGGAGCTAACCCAACGTAGAGATCAAATTCAACGTAGGAAGCTAACCCAACGTAGAAAGCTAGCCCAACGTACCTAAGTTAGCTAAGTCAGTAAGTTAAAATAAACAAAATAAACAAAATATGAAAAATGATTGGAAGAAACAAAACAAACAAACAAAACAAATACATTGATGGAAAGTTACAAAAGTTTCTTTACGTTGAGTTAGCTCTCTACGTTAGGTATCTACGTTTGCTTAGCTCTCTACGTTGGGTAAGCTCTCTACGTAGGGTAGGCTTCCCACTTTGGGTTAGCTCTCTACGGTTGGTAAGCTATCTACGTTGGGTTACCTCCCCACGTTGGGTTAGCTTTCTACATTGGAGTTATTCATTATGACGTTAAGTTCTTTACGCTGGGATAGCTTTCTACATTGGAGTTATTTTTATTCTTTTCGACGTCAATTTCCTCTGCCTTGGGTTAGCTTTCTACATTGGAGTTATTCTATTCGACGTTAAATTTTCTACGTTGGGTTAGCTCTCTACAACTTCTAGTATCATTATTCACATGAAAAAACGTGAGAACTGTTCCAAAAATTAATTTAGGTCTCTGAAGACACAGTGCAGTAATAGAATGCCAATAATTCATGATTAGTCCGATCGCCCATTGTCAGCGACACTCTGTATCATATTCTTGTAATACATTTACTGAACCCCATCGAAGCTGTGTTGCAGCAGTACCTATTATTTCGATTTGATTGAAGGATGTACGGTTAACTAACCAAGCGTTATATTCTTCGTCCTCATTTTATTATTTGTTAAAAAAAATCGCAATGGGATAACATCTATATCTGTGATAGAATCATCGTTACCAATTGAAAGAACAGCTCCGAACATTCATCCATTCGTACTTTCAGGATCAAGTGACAACATATTCAAAATCCTCAAAGGTTGTCACCGGTCTTTAAATCGACTGTTTCAACATTGATAGTTGACGATCGTTCGTACTTGTATGTTATCTCCGTATTTAGTTCTTTGAAGTGAGGAATAACATCCCTTAGTAGGATAGTTTCAATCTGTGAAGGAAATGAAATGATAATATTAAACGCCAAAGTCTGACGTCTACTCTAATCCCAAATGAAACCCTTCGAATTTCTGTATAGCTGGGTTTATAGATTCAATTAAACAAACAATTAGGAATTAACAATCAACAGTCAACAATAACCATGAGGGTGTTTATACATATATGATATTAATTAAGAATTGAATGGGAAATGGAAGATCAAATTGATGTTAAAAAGTGATTTTGGTCTCCAATATTCATGAATCCATAAAAATATTCCAATGCAAATCCAATATTCATGTTCTGTCTCCAGAATTCCATGATTCTTATAGTTGTTCAGTTGAGAGTTGGCCAGCTTTGTAATTCTCAATTCTTAATTTGAATGACAGATGTAAATGTATAAACCCTCATAGATGGTTCCTTCTATCCAACTTCTTAAGTTCATTCTTGTTAGTTTAATTCTTAGTTTAGTTTAATCTATAAACCCAGCATAAGTATAAGTGTTTCATCCCAATTGTATTCCAAAATTATTCATACAAAACCACCTCCTGACTTCTCCCCCAAATATTCAACTGCTTCTGCAAAAAATGTTATCAACAATTCGACATCAGCAATGACTGCTCCAACTCAAATGCTTAGAAGACAAAGATTAGTTTGGAGTTTGAAAAATTCTGGAGTTGAAGAAGAGACTGCCTTCTAGAAGTGCATTTCTTCTCGTTCCAGTTGGCACGTCTTCGAAATCCTCTGTTGCAATTCAGTGACCATTTATTATTACATAAAGTTTATAGAATCAGTCGCTTTCTCTTCATATATCGGCGCATGTCTATATAAACATTATGGTTTGCATACGAGCAGACATAATTGATCAAAGTTGCATAATGAAGCAAATATTCACGTCTGGTGTTGAGAGACAAATTGTATGCTCTGATGCTGAATGCTAATTAGCTTACAGCCATTAGGTTTCGTCTCCGGCTATAGAGATTAGTCACAGGCTCGACATGTTTTCTCATAATCATCGTCACTCGAGATGTAAAAGGTCCAAAGCGCCACCCTAAAGCGAAATGAACATGATTGAAAAGCACGTTTTTTTCTGCATCGATCTGTCTAAATTTCATAGAATTCGGATCTTTAGTCACCATAAAATGAAAACTACAAATATATATTCAAGGCGAAGCCAGAGCACTCGTGAGTAGATTGTCAAGGGGTCAAGCACCCATAAGCAACGCGCACGGTAAAGACTATAGGAAGCTATATGAAGAGTTGGAAAGCGACACCATCATGGGGATGCCAACGGATGGCATAATTCCAAAATATAGCTTTGAAAAAACTTTTAAAATAAGTATAACGGACAGAGAGGCATGGAAGGAAGGACCTCCTATCAATGCATCAGACATTGCTGTCTATACGGACGGCTCCAAAACTGATGAAGGATCAGGAGCTGGTATTTATGGGGCCAAGCCAAAGACAAGAATCTCACTGAGCTTAGGCAAATACACGACGGTGTTTCAGGCAGAAATTATTGCAATACATCATTGCGTGAAAGAATTGATAAGGCAAGAGTTTAAAGGCAAAACCATTGCAATCTATTCAGATAGCCAGGCGGCAATCAAAGCAGTCAACTCTATGCAAGTTAACTCAAAACTAGTATGGGACTGCTTAGAAACCCTAAATGCACTGGGCAGTCAGAACAGATTGACTCTAGCATGGGTACCAGCACATACAGGGTACGAGGGCAATGAAGAGGCAGACTCACTTGCCCGAGCAGGAGCAAACAAAGCTCTTAATGGCCCAGAACCCTTCTGTGGTATTGCGAAAGCTATACAAAAGACTAGTATCAAATCATGGAACAACTCGCCAGGAATGAGACAGGCTAAAGAGTTTATTAAAAAACCATCGCCAACATTCACAGAATATCTACTAAGCCATAAACGAAGTTCAACTAGAATACTAGTGGGACTTCTCACAGGGCATTGTAGGCTCAACAAACACATGAGTACGATAGGTCTGACTGAAGAACTGCTGTGCAGGTTCTGTCAAGAAGAGGAAGAAACAGCAGTACACATACTTTGCCACTGTGAGGGCTTGTCAAGACTAAGGTTCCTTACGCTGGGTGAGGAAAAACCAGGAGCCCAGAGATACACAGGAGATCTGAAAGCTAGCCTATGGAGTCTCATAGAGAAGACGGGGCTAGCCGAAGAACTCTAATCGATTTTGAGGGCAGACACAATAGATCTGAAAAGGTCGCAGTGTGGAGGCAGATAGCCCGAAGGCCCCATTCCAAATCTAATCTAATCCAATAAAATGGATACCTATAATGATGATGATGAAACTGTACTAACTTTCGATGATAAAGACTGGGAAGGAGTTAGGAGACGTGCGATAGCAGGAATTAAACACGTCAGAAACTGGTTAGATACTAACAAATTGTCACTCAATGTAAATAAAACACACTATATTGCCTTTTCTAAAACATCCGCAGATCGTCCTAACTTCTAAGAAATTATGTGTGATAATCTAACCTCTGCAATACAAGTAAGTCAAACTACCATCAAATACTTGAGCATCATTATTGACCAGGACTCAAAGTGGGACTATCATGTAACGTATATATCAAAAAACTAAGATTATTGATCAATAAATTCTTCTGATTCTACTGACGAAGCTACTGTGTTAGCGAAACGTCGTGTGTTTGAGAATTTTGTGGAAATCTTATCGTTTGTGAAGTTTTTACATTTTCCATGGATTTTCATCAAGTAACGGCCGAGTCAATTCAAAAAATTAATGATAATGAATTATCTATATCACTGAATGATAGTTCAAGCAGTACTGTTCCTTTGATTTTTTTTGGCTGGGATCCTGAAATCATCATAGTCCTGCTCTGATGCACCAATATCAACAATGCCAAGGCCAAAGATTCGATCAAGTACTGATTTGGAAGCAAATCCAAGCAACACTGGGTGTTCATAGAAGGCAAATTAGGCAGGTATTGACCCCATAAAGATCATCAGTTCTCATCAATGCTCATCATCTGGTATCTTTCACTTTTTTTCTCTGGCATGATGCTTCCCGAAGCTTTCCTGAAATGTGCTAAATATTTTCCTGTCTTATTTTCCAGGACAATTGTTTTCCTGCATTCATCTGTCGATCCCAAAGGTATGACGCAGCTTTTCATTTCATCACATTCAATTATTTCAAACGAGCTTTCCGAGAGGCAAAGGCAGGGTTTCCATCCGACAGCCACAATAAAAGAAAATCGATTCATGGAGGGCAAATGAGATTTCCTGGATCTAGAGTGCTGATTTCCTATTCAAAACACGTGTTCGTCAGCAAATTGCTAATTTACCCGGGTCACAAACAAAAACAATGAGTTAGAGAGGAATAAAAATATCTGATAGTCCCCCTCTCGAGCATTCGGAATGAAGATTCAATATGGCGAATTTTCGTTCACAATTCGAGTTCTAGGATGATGAACTTTGTTTTTTTTGGTCGGCAAGTTTGGCCTATATACAGTGTGTGCGATTTCAACCCGCAACACCCTTTTAATTTGAAACCCGTCGACTGATTTACAAAAACAAAAATTCCATAATATAGTACTCATCGAGCAATATTATTAGTGAATGTGAATGAATTTGAAATATTCAAACTTTCAAAGCCTACTTTTGTTTGTTGTAGGGGCCAAAATTTCAAAAACGACTATTAGGCAATTTTTTATCGGAACTGTGACTAGCCTATTCAAAATTTGAACGCTAAATCTTCTATAGGGTGTTAGTCATTCAGTGGCAAATTTTTATATTCTTGATTTTTCGATTCACCCTGTATTGAAATCTGAGGAGTTGATATGACTACTCATTTGATGAAGGAACACATGGGATACTCAAATCCGAAGTTTCATCGTTGTAACTTCTATGGGAAGATCTCTCTTGGTCAACCAAAAATTAATGAAATTGAAGTTGACAAATTTTTCATTATGATCCATATCTTTTTTTCTGGGAATATAAATAATAGTAACTTATTCGAGGAAATATTCTCTATACATAACAATAATTTTCATTGTAATCTCAAATTTCCCTTCTATTTCGCCAAAATAGGAATATTTTCTTGATCACATTAGGTATCAGTAAATCTCCTGGCAGTCTTTTTAGAATGTTTTTCTGTCATATTCGACAGTCCTTTATCAATCGAGAGGATATTCAAAGTTACTATAAGGTAAAGTGTGTGAAAAATGGTTTACTTGAGTTTTCAAAATGGTGAACCTCAACTTTAATTTCATTGGTTTTTGGTTGACCTAGAGAGATCTTGCTGTAGAAGTTGAAACGATGAAACATCGTATCCAAGTATTCAATGTGTTTCTCCATTGAATGACTACTTCACCAGTTATATAAATTCCTTTGATACAGGGTGAATCAAAAAAAGAGCTAGTCACTATTTCGATAAAAAAATGCCTAGTAGTCGTTTTTGAAATTTTGATCCATTCAGCAATCGAAAGTAGGCCTTGAAAATATGAATATTTCAGATTTGTCCACATTTTCGAATAGAGCTCGATGAGTACTATTTTATGAAATGTTTGTTTCTTGGTCTTACCTGATTTTGCCGTGCCACAAAATACAGCTAATAAAGCCCATAGTATCACACAGGAGGAGTATTTTCTTCTATCCATCTTGAAAGTCTGGAACAAGCAAAAAGATTCAGTAATTATTCTACTTGCTATTTGCTATGTATAGATAGTCATAGTAATGTTTAATTATTGTGTTTAATTAGTGCCTTCTGCAGGATATTCTCGTTTTATCTCACATCAGTATACACTGGTTCCCAGTCATTATAGTATAATAATACATAAATAAAATTCGGTGCTAAGTATATGAGACGTAATGATACAACAAAACTCTTTTATTTATTGATAAAATGTACGCTCTTGCCATACCTTCACTATTATAGAACGTCCGGCAACATTGCAAAAGTCATTGATACTTCCGGTGCTTCTGACATCGTAGAAAGCAAAGCTCGGGTTTGGCTGATATAATGTGTAATATCAATTATTCGCAAAGATGCTAGCCACCCTTTCAATTCATATTTTTTTTTCGATCAACATTTTCTTCCTAAGAAATTCTGAATTAAGAAAACCTAATCACGAATCTGCGATTGAGGTCTAGAAAAATAACAAGTTCCTATCGTTCAAGTTTGAACTCCTTGATTGGGTGAAAGCATTGAGAAGGAATATTCTCAGATATAATTATTAACATAAAAAAATTTATGTATATACAGCGTGTCTCACTTTAAACGCCCCCCCCCCCCTCTATACCTCAGTTATTAGTCATGCGATTCCAACCAAATTTGGTGTGGTATGGATAACCATCAGTATGATCAGTTTTACAGCGATGCACAATATTTTGGACAGTGCCGTGCGTTTTTATTGAACTAAAAAGCGGTCGATTTTTTCATAAAATCATATTAGGTATTTTTTTACAGGAAATCTAACCTCATATTATTGTTCCTCATGCTTTCGAACCTCCATATGCATAAAAACAACTAATTCCGAATTAACAGAATTGGTTTCATTTTTTTCCATTTTCAGTATCGAATAAATAGTGACTTCAAATCAACTACGAATTTTGGAATGTTCAATGGCTCCGGTAGGTGGAAAATCATGATTTGGATTGAATTACATCTATTGAACATATACGATAAGAATTTGAAAACAAAATGAATCTAAGATCTCAGTTCGTTATAGTTTTAGTTATATCATAGGGAGATGAAAATTGTGTATATCATGGAGACTGGCTGAAAGAAGTACTGGACTTCAGGTTGCTGATGAGGATTTGATATCCGAAATGAATTTATATGAAATGTTCATAATTATATCTGAGAATATTCTTTTTCAATATGTACTGTAATACTATTTTGATACCATGTACTTATAATATATATATAAGGGTAAAGTTTCCAAAAATTACCCCAATTATCTGGAGAAAACTTGTGAAATGTATATAATTCCTCAAAATAACTTGAATATTTCAAGCGTGTTCGGCCCTTAAAAATAAAAACCCTGTGTGGGCTTATTCAAAGTACTCCGATGATAACGTGGAGATAACTTGACAAAAGTTCTGCCGTTCCCAACTTTAGGCATTAGCATAATCCTTGTATTTCTAGAAGCCTTCAGGCCTTGAATCTAAGTTCAGGGATCTGTTTTCTTGTGCAGTAAGAGCAGAAATATAGCTATCAGGATGAGATTCTCGCCAAATGTTTTCACCAGATAAAAACATCTCGAGACAGGAATGAATGGTATGGAGATTCTTCCAGCGAACATAATTCTCCATGACGGTTTTGTACTCGGTTGGAATTTGAGTTGAAGAACAATGCGTTTCATGAAAATCTATGTACAGGGTACACTACACTGTTTAATCACTAACGAAACCGATTTTTATACGCCTCGACACGTGTTTCGCTAACTATGTTAGCATCTTCAGGAGAAGATTGCAACTGAATGAGTACTCTATTCCCCAATCGTGAAAGATAGTAAGCGCCAAGTTTATATTTATCGTGGTTAAGTTCACATATTCACCTTGATCTTATATCACTAAACTATACAGAGAGCTGAATGGAGTAGATCTATTTTTTTATTCATTACCCTATCATTATGCCTAAATATCTCTTGGCTCTATAGGCATCTAATTTCCTAACGTTATTAACGTGCTTATCATTACAACTTGGAATTTGATCTTTTCAGAAACGAAACTAACACACTTAGACCAACACTATTTCTACTCCATATCAACGATTTGTTGGAAGCAACTTCATGTCCAGTACACAGCTTCGCGGATGATAGTACCCCCATACCGCCTTCTATTCCAGGGCTCCAATACCAGCCAGGCAAATCAGAAACGAACGAGGGAGAAATGTTGACAACATAAATATCGACTTGGCAATAATTCTCGAATTGGGATTCAATAACTTGGTAGATTTCAATGCAAACAAAACACAAGCATGCCTTTTCTCTAGAAAAGCCGATCTCACTGTGCCCAACATAAGCTTGTCAGGAGTAACCATACCTTCGAAGACATCCATTTCGATGCTTGGTATTTCTATCAGCAATAACATTTCTTCACGCAAAGAAATGGAGTTGGACATATCAACCATTCGTTGTGGTTTTGAATTCGTGGTAGTAAATACCGAAGTTGTGATTGAATCAACCTCTCAAAATAATGCAAAGTATCTGGACGTTATTTGTATCTACTAGGATGAAATGGTTTACTAAGAAATTATTTCGTAGTAATGTTTACCACGCCGCTAAGAGGTTTCAAACATTCTAGGAAGGTTCTTTGTACAGAAAGTGTTATAATTACGTATCAATTGATATTCATCACATAAAATGGTAAATGCAACCCAAATTATCTGTATTTGCCACTGATCGTGTTGTGGTTATCAGTTATACGGAATTATTACCATGTCGAATGGCAAACCACACTAATTATTGATAAATTTGAATAAACTTAGGAATATCTCATTGAACAAAATTTTCGAAGTTATTCTGATATAAAAAAAAATAACAAGAATCGCCAATTAAAAGCTATAACGCTACTTTGATGAAAACTATTGTGTACATTGGAATTAAATCAACTATAATGGAAGGTCGAATGTACTGGATTATAACTATTTTTCGCCTTCTTTAGATGATGGATCAGATGTATTTCAGAAAATAGTTGAGAATGAGAGTTTCTCAAGCATCTTCGAGGCTTTGAGGAATTCATATAAGAATTCTGTGAACCAGTATATGGCAGATCCCAGATAGCACACGACGTCCCGGGGACGTACATATTACGTCCGATTCGGGTCCGTACGTCCCGGAACCTAATATGGACGTCCTTAGAACGTACCATGCCGTACGTCTTCGGGACGTACAGAGCGTACGTTTTCAGGACGTCCATTTTCATTCTTCATTTTTTCAATATTCATTATTCACTCTATATTTATTATATTCTCCAATAACAATAAAACATTGCCAGATGTGATCAAATGGAGAAGGAATAAGGGCCCTTATCAATGGCTGCCGATCAATTCGATAATAGGTCACAAGTCACAATGAATCACGTGATTTTTTGTGACCAATGTGGAGAAATTGAAGTAAATCTGGCAATGTTCGCATATATATTTTCATCCTAAATAGAGTGTTACCTCTTTATTGGATTCAGAGATTTCGTAGGATAGGTATACTTAAAGATGGAATTATGTACACATATTGTCTTACGTGCTGGTCTTTATACTCATTCATAGCGAATTCCATTGAAATGAGCTGGTGGAGTGTTTCTGCACTCAATGTTTACGTTTCCATCTTATACTCGCATATGTTGAACAGAGGTAAGTCTTATATTCATTAAGTGTCGTGTAGAGTTGTTGGTAAAGCATCTGCTCGGTAATTCAGAGGTCGCGGATCGATCCCCCAGTAGGGAAGGATTTTTTTAATTTTTTTATTCAAAATAATATTTTTTACTCTGTATAAATGTCTTGTTTATCTATCTAAGTAAAAAAAGGGCGAATCTACGTTGATTATGGTATTCATGGCGATGAAATACCAAACTGGGACTTAATATGGACGTCCCTGGGACGTTCCATCTTGTAACATCGGACGTCCCCAATACGTCCTGTGGACGTCTTCGACCGACACTGGACGTCTTCAGGACGTCTTGTACGTCCCAGATGTACGTCCTCTGGACGTACACAGGACGTCTTCGTGTTATCTGGGATCTGTATTCACTGAATATGCCAAGAAGTTATGTCCAGACAATTTCAGAAAAAACTAATAGTTTATTTAGTCATTGATTCATAACAAAAATGAGAAACATCATAATTGAGGAAATTCGAAAATCTAAAGTATAGAAGCTCTGTTCAAGAAAGAATTAGAAAATAACTTCGATCTTCTTCAGAATTCCTATTTTCCAGTTTTGCACAATATATAAGAAAACCGTTTCACCTCTATTTTTGTAGTGATGACTTCCAACCAGGAAATCCATTAGGTTCTCATCCAGATGGTCAAAAGTTGACAGCTTCATATGTATCACTACCGTTTTTACCCCCAAGATCGCACTGAATGTCGAAAATATTTTTTTATTTGAACTCTAAAATTCCAATCTCAAGATAAGTTTTCATAAAACACATATTCAAACCTTTTATCCTGCAGTTGACGGATTTAGAATGATGGCGTGGACATTATTTTTACCAAGTGTTTATGTCTATTATCCTGACATCCATGAATCATACTAACGAGAATTATACCGAATTCTGAATTTAACCCATTTCCGGTGAATATCTTGACAAGACCCTATCCCCTTACTCGTTCCCTACACTGGAGAAGAAAGGTAGGTTCAGACGAAGACGATTCAGGCTCAGTTACCATTTCGTTCTCCCTAAGGGAAGACTGTGCGTGTTTCATCTGTATTGTGCAATTTCTTATGGACAATGAACGACAGTAGCTCAAAAGACACTTTTGAATTGTATGGGTCGACCAGTATTTTCCATGGTAAGTACCTATATCTAATTTCTGTATTTATGTGGTATTTAAAATAATTTAGGTTAAGAATTTAGTGTACGATGCACCCGATGATGCATCGATGGCACATATAACCCGCCAAAGTTGTTCAAAACTACCACGACAAGATAGGTATTCACGACTCC